GCTAGAAAAAAAATTCTAGTATCACAAAATCCACGATCTTATTAAATAGAGAATTTCGTTTATACTGGGTTATAAAAAAGTGTGATTATTTACACGGTTCCAATTTATATGAATGGATATGAAACTAGATACTTGTTTGGTTAAATTTCAACAAGAACTTGTGTGTATTTCAAGAATAATATGAGTCTAATGATGCAATATCGCCCATAAACTGCATTCCAGCATTATATTCAAATCAATGAAATAATCAACCTAATAATCCTAGCACCACCAAAGATAGGCTGTATGTAGAAGTCCCCAACTATTTACTAAGCATAGCTTACATATGGCACAAGGCCGCGAGTATTCAGCACCCATCGAGGATAGAACACTACTCAAATGTAATTGCTTTAGAGAAACATGTTTACTAACCATTACAACACATCGACGTGCCCAATATAATTGTTGCATATAATTTGGAGCGATGAAAAAGAAACGATATTGCCTAAAAATGGCTGACAGTTGTTATTACTATGTAGAACAACTTAACATTAAACATCAGTGGTAGTAATATTTGATTCAAGATTTTATTCAAGATTTTTGACAGTATATGCAGTGAACTAGAGGATAGTTGAAGACATACAAAGTCAATCTTTTTAGTCAATCAACAAAGCGATCGAAAACTAAAAATCATTCTATAACAGACACCAGTGCTGTATCGGTTCAGGACGTGGCCCTGACAACTTACTTTCTTTTGTAGCTTCAATCAACATTTGTTCCAATATTATTCCCCCGAAGTCCATATTCTACTATCGATTTACACGACACTCATTAAGCACGTTAGCCCACGTTTTCCACTGCCTCTCTTGTGTTCAGTTTATCCAGTTAAAGCGACATTATCAAATCTTCACCTTTCTTACCATGAGTTCCAGTAATTTCAACTGTCTCTTCCTGATTAGAATTATATAAGTTCTTTATGGTACTAGTTTTTTTTTTCTCAAAACATGTTGCTCACATGTTCCGTCTTAAGAATTCACAGAATCTTTTGTAGAACCAGATTTGTACTACCTCATGTCTTCTCTCAATGTGCGAATGAATTACCCAGCATTCGCTGATATATTTCTTTTAATCCTTTCAACCCAAGCGAGGTGACAAAGCCAAGGGATTAGGGAGAATGAAAGAAAATGAGAAAACATCCGTGAGGAGAAATAATAATAATAACAATAATAATAATAATAACAATAATAATAATAATAATAATAATGGATTATGCACGACCGAAGATGGTGAAGTGACGTTACATTTATTTTAGCTGACTGGAAAACAAGAAGCTGGAAGAGAGCTCCTGGGTCGAGAAGTGCGAGAATAGAAAATTTTAAAATAGAATTTTGGTTATATCTAGCAATTTCAAAAGTAAAATGATGAGACCTTGCCGCCAATTCAGTACTGCGCTTGAATTCATGAAGACAACGTGCAAAAGAGCAATACGCACAGAAAAAAAACAACAAAAAAACTATGTTACGGCGGTGGGAAAATGACTGGAACCGAAATGTCGGGTCAGGATTGAAAAGATTGCAGATTCTTGTTTGAATTTTCTCAAGAATCTCTAAAACCATAGCAGATGCACAAGACCTGATGTTATAGCATTAATCAATGTGTCACCACTAGAATATCGTTTAGAATAATTGAAACATCAGCATCTCTTTGTCACTTACACGTAGGCATATCAATAATCCTATAGATAAATCATAAAAGGCCTTTTATTTTGAGCAATATATAATTATTTTTCATCATCCTCGCCTTTCCCACCAGTGCACTTCATTCAACAGGTGTCTTAAGATTACATATGTTTAATATTATACAGGGTGCTCTTAAAGTCTTGGCAACAATGCATATTTTCAAGAAATGAAATTTTCAAAAACATTTTAATGAATTGGAATATTAGCAAATAACATCTTCAATAAGATTTCCATCATTTGTAACGCAAAGGTTGATGCGTTTTGCAAGATTCACGTGAGCTCTGTGTAATAACTCCACACTGATGTCAGTACATTCATTCTTTATGCATTCAATCAAGTGTGTTGTATCTGTGATTTTCATTGAGTACGCCTTCTCCTTTAGCATAGCCCAGAAAAAGAGGTTAACTCTATCTTCTTTCGACAAAACCATGTTTAATCAGTGGAAGTAAAAAAATATAGTTAATGAAATTTCCCATGTGTCTCGACTTTAGGGCCACCCTGTATATTTCCGATCAAAGTTCATCATGGATTCATCCTCGTGTATATATTCGAGTTCTTTTCCCACGAAGACAAGTGGAATTTGTTTATGTGCATATGTGAATAAGACATGTCGTATGATTGCCACATCTATGACCTATTTCCGATCATTTTAATTGCATATTGGAATAAAAAGCTTATCAAGACAAGAATGCATCTTATCACCGGATTTATTCAGCAAAGCGACCCTAAGAGAACTCTAGATTACAGCAGGATTTATTATTAGTGGAAAGAATCTTCCCAACTTAAGATACCTAGATAACATTGCGTGGAATCTTCAGGAACTATGAAATAAGGCAGGAAAGGAAAGCAAAACAAGGAATAACCATCAGCTGTAAGAAGACACATTTAGGATGATTTTCTAAGCGTATCTTAGATGTGACACAAGGCTGAAAGTCTGGCGCAGACATTGAGAACCGAACTCACTGCTCATTCGTAATAGACATAGTCAGACAAGCTTGCTAACCATTACACCATGCTGAGGTGTTCCAGAAATGATGGTCATTATTCCAACTCTCGACGGAAAAAAAGTACTTACGAATAGTGAAAGTTAATTTTCAGAAACTAAGTATTAAAATATAGGAAAATTACATTACAAACAAAGAAAAGAGTGTTGAACTGGTATTTTAGATAAGTTCGACTATTGCCCTGTCTTTTGAACAAAAGCGGGGGTTTATCCTTTGTTTTCTGTTTAGGATCGAGTTTCCGGTTCCTTCTAAAGTGCACTGTAACACTATACATCTAACCTCTCAGCCTGAAATTTTATTTACTAATTTTATTTTCCTTCTTGATAGGAACGGGTAGGTTTTGCCTATCGTCCGGTTCACACTCCTCCCCGGTCTTTTGAACAAGAGTGGAGGTTTATCCCTTGTTTTCTCTTTAGGATCGAGTTTCCGGTTCCTTCTAAAGTGCACTGTAACACTATACATCTAACCTCTCAGCCTGAAATTTTATTTACCAATTTTATTTGCCAATTTTATTTTCCTCCTTGTTAGGAACGGGTAGGTTTTGCCTATCGTCAGGTTCCCAAGCCTCCCAGGTCGTTTTAATGGGGGTGGAGAGTTCATTCTCTTTCCTTTTCATTGTCTTTCACTCCCAGTAGCGCTTTGCGTCTTAGTAGCATTATCGCCTTTCTTGGGGTGAATTGATTAAAATAAATATCTATCCTTTTAGACGACAATAAAGTCTTTAAAAATTCCTTACATATGTAGAAGAGGCTCAAAGTGACAGAAGTCTGGTTATGTTTAAGGATGCTGAGCATACGGTGGGTGGAATACAACGAGGAAGTGTAAAGAAAACATGCTAATAAAAAGAACATTGGAACGTAGAATCAAAAATAGATGGTTGAAATTTCTAGGACACATAATGAGGAAAGAAGGCTTGGAGAGTATAAAACTAACAGGATATACTGAGGGCAAAACGGACAAAAGGAAAAAATCGAGTAACCTACCTAATGAATTTGTGATGGCAGAACAAGCATGGGGAGGGATAGTAAGAGGAGGAATATGAAGACGTTGTCGAGAGTTATGATCATTCATTTCTCGAAGGAGCACGACGCGTCAAAGAAAAAGAAGACACAATAATTTAATTTTCACTATTTAACAGCATACATTTTTTTCCCTTGGCCTAGTGCATCGCAATTTCGCAACGTTCAATTTCGTAACGTTTTCGCTCGCAGCCGGTTATCTGAGACAAATAAAGTTGGCCGAACAGATGAAGAAACAGATAATGTCACAGAGCCGTTGAATATATAAACGCTCAGTTTGGTTTGTGGACAATTGGCACCAAAACTGCTACTTCAAAACAGAATCAGGAGTTTGAGGCAAGAATCAATACTTGCTAGACAGTTACCTTGACGCATTTGTTCAATTTTGTGCGGAATATGCGCAAATACATCTCCCAAAATGCAATTAAGACGACATCACATTGTGATAAAATATTAACATTACTGGTTTAAATTCTATTATGCTTCTTTTATTTATTAGTTTCTTTTGCTGTGGTTTTTTTATAATTCTCAAAATCCTTCTTTCCTCACACATTTTATTGTTATCGTCTGCTTTTTTGTGGTACAATATTTTCTTCCTTTATATGTATTCTTTTTCAATAGATCTTTTCCTCTCCTCTTTCCTTTCCGTCCTTTTTTTTTGTTTGTTTGTTTTTGTCTTTGGTCACATCACGTTGAATCACCGGCTCCCGAATGATACCCGAAGTTAAGCAACGTTGAGCTTTGTCAGTATTTAGATGATAGACCGTCTGGGAACACCAGACGCACTCATCTTGGATGTGCGGGTGGTGTAATGAATAATGTCTCGGAATTGTTAATCGTAGTGCCGAGTTCCAGTTCTAGTTGGGCTCGTTATAATCACTTACGTGCAAATACTTTTTTAAATCGATGTCACCTTATGCAAGGCAGTAAAGCCACTAAGACACAAGGGGTGTGGAAGAATTAGGAACAGAAATATTAATAATGAACGGGAAGAGGAAAAAGTAATCAAGAGGACAGTAAATAGCGATTGCCATCGCTTTAAAAATTTTGCAGATTAAAGTTGGCTGGGAAGTATGGAGCCGGACGGAAGTCTCACAAGAAAAAAAAATTAGCTTGCGTGTTGGGATATTTCTTTCAGAGAGCTTTTAAATTTTTCACAAAGCCGAACAGAATGGGATTTTGCGAGATGTTTGGCTTAGAGAGGTAGTTGGGGAGACTCATGATCGCTTTCGTTCAGTAAGAACTTCTCATCTTAGAGCTAATATTATTTCTGAAGCACCTGTTCCAATACGATCACCAAAGTTAAGCAACGTGGAGCCTGATCAGTACCTAGGTAGGTGACCGCTTGAAAATACCAGGTGCCTCGAGCTTGTATGTGCGGGTGGTGTAATGAATAATGGCTCAGAATTGTTAATCGGAGCGCTGAGTTCAAATTCCAGTTGGGTTCGTTATATTCACTTACGTGCAAATAGGAATGGTATGAACCCACCTCTTCTTCCTCGAATAATTAGTAAGACTTGTATCACTATCATGATTATTATCTATATAAAATAAATATAATAGCCTACAAAATATTTAGATTTTGACACTAAATGACCCACAGAGGTGTTGATGTGTTTCTAAACAGCATAACCAACCAACCAACCAAGGTTTGTTTTTTTGTATTTATTACTGGTTCTCGTTGTAAACCCTCTTCTTCCAAATATCTTCTGTTCTTCTATCTATGCTCTCCAAGCGATGCTAAAATACGCCGACTACATCTCTTGAGGAATGGTGACCTACCGGGTGCTAGCTTGCAGACCGGGGCAGGGATGTATAAACTTGACCAATGTTTATCAAGCGGCTCAAGTATAAATATGAAGTATAACTGCCATCTTGGACTTTCTCTTTATACTTGATGACCATATTTGTATGCCGTCTTGCATTTGATATTGATAGTATAACTTTCCAATCCTTGGCATTGTTTGTTGTCACTTTTTCGTTATTTCTACAATTGCCTCAGTAATCCATTCATTCCTCTTTTACCTCGTTTTCCTTCGGATAGTCTCATTTATCGACCTTACTAGTGTTTCTCTCATCATGTTCCAATTTGGTATTGTAGTCTCATCTGCTTGCAACTTTAATTCTTCGAGAGTCTGTCGTATTGCAGGCTAGGCGTTGGGTGTCCATTTACAGCCTTACAAAAGACTCACTGATACGCAATGCTTAACAAGCTATTCCAGCTGACAATTCATACAGTAATGAGATTGATGCTCGCTGAGTGTCTCAGAGTTTGGTCATATTAAACTGAGTAAGTAAAAATTACTTATTGCGATAATAATTCAATATTTGTGAAGCGCCACTGAAACAGTTCGGGTGGTATTTTTAAGTCGATCGTGCACCCGTCTGGGGAGCTATTGACAATTTCACATCCTTTTTAGTATCTCATGAACGGATTCTTTCGTTTCAAAACGGCCTTAATCTAATAGCTATCTGAATAAAACGAGTAGTTTAATTGTAAAAACACGAGGGTAGACTGAAAAGTCCATAGTCTGACCAAAACACTCTCATGAATGGGACATATTAAGGTTTATTTTCCAATATACCCCCCCTTGCGGCCCGCACAGTTCTTCCATCGGTGTTGCAGTGCTTGAATCTCATTGGTGAAGAAGCTTTCATCCTGTTGGTAAAAAAAATCACTAACAACAGTTATGGCGTCATCAATACGATACTGGTTCTCATCCAAGTATCTGTTTCATGTTGGGTAATATATGATTGTCTGATGGGGCCAAATCAGGAAAATAGGATGGTTGATCAACCAGTTCAAGGCACAACAGCTCGATTACGTGTGAGGGAACATTGTCCCGGTGAAACATGACCGCTTTCGTCAGTTTTCCTGGGCATTTCCTATTGATAGCCTTTCGTATTTGCCTCAGACATTTCCATTGTACTCTCCATTGATGATGTTGTTCTCCCTTTTGAAGATAGTTAATAAACACAATGACTTCTGCATCCCAAAAGGCTGAAGCAATCCCATACAGAAAATAACTGAAATTCAAAACACGATCTACATAACCCAACATTTATTACCTAATTATAAAAAATATACACATATAGTATTACCTCCTAATATTATAAAATATCTTCCTGATCGGCGATTAAGAATTGTTCCAAATGAATGAATCCTATAAATCTTAAAGAGAACAATCCTTCATCAGACCCTATGAACTGATAATGAAGAAACATCACAAATAATAAAACCCACATCAGCTGAACACTCCCAAATACAGCAAATATAGCAAGTGTAACTAGAAAGGAAAATAATGATATAAACAAGCGATTAATCTTTTTGACTACCGAAAGCAAAATATTTAGAAGAATAATCGAATCAGTACTAGAATAAAAAGCCATGATTTTCTAAAAAAAATAATGCTAAATTGTTACGTAATATGATTCCTCCTATATGATAGTGAATGCTAGACAATCTCCTCACAGAGTGACTTGAAGTAACAGATAAGTAGTTTAACTGAATGATACTTAGAATACTATGAACCAAACACCTGAACAACGACGATCATCTACAACTGCAACAAAAGAATACTTTTACTTAACATCAGGAGTCAACAGTTGAATTTATGGGGCATATAATGGAAGATTTGATTCTCACAGGACAGATTGAAGGTAAAAGTGACACGAAATTAACGCATAACTTATCTGGCGAGCTTGCGTGAATGAATCACGGAGTAGTGTTTTTTGGGAGAGATCGTAAAAAAGGCAAAAGTTACAAAGAGCTACAAAGGACAGTAAGATGCGGAGAGCCTTGACCGCCAACGCTCTGAAAAGACACGGCATATATAATAAGACTATAAAAAAGAAATAACTTCTAAATTCCTGAATTCAAAAAATTTTAAGAAAAATATTTTATAAATTTCACTCGAGGGTAACTCTAAATATTCGTTTAATGATTTGCCGAATGTTTTCTGTATGAAAATAGTTTAACTCACCATGACAATTAACATTAATAGTCTATTGTTTTATTCTGTTATCCTTAGCAAATGCAACTACCTCTACCTACAGCTTGTTGGTTACTGAATGGCTACAAATGAACACAGAACAGAATGATAATATCATAAAAATGGTTTAATTATTTGTCCACAAGACTTGTTATTAACTCTGTTATTATTTATTATTGAAAACCCCGAAAAATAAAAAGTAGCTTTCTTAATACCTCTGTCAGCTACTTTTATTTGGTTTTCGTCGTTATATTTGTGTAAATTAAAAGCTGTTTTGCTTGCTTACTAAAAAAATATAATGAAACCTATTTTGCATATTTGAAACATAGAAATTCAGTTTTTAATACTAGCCATTTAATTGAATTTTCAAAAGTAAAAGGTGTTTTCCTTTTTTAATTTTCAAAAATAAAAGTTTTTTTTCTATCTTATAACAGTCAGAAAGATCACTGAAGACAATATATGCGAAGAACATAAAAACTGAATATGCATTAATAACAGTCGAGGGGTAAACTGTCGCTTTTATATTTTTAATTTCGCGCATGCGCGTTGTATGTTTTTCCTTTTGTCGACAGCCCGCTGTAGTAGGATCAGTTGACCAGCCTCTGTTTTAAAAGAGCACCATGGCGTGATTCACGCCTCCAGAAATTTGGAAACGGCATGCTGTATTGTTTGATATTAGCGCAGGAAGCTCCAATACGAACATTTCAGAGTGTTTGGGTGTCAATCTGAGGACAGTGCAAAGGACTCGAAAAGAGTTGGATGAGTCTAATGGTGATTACGAAGGTACGGCAGCTTCGAAAGCTCGCTCTAATCGTTCTGATGAGAAAAGTACTCACAAATTTGTTGGTGAGGGCTTTACACCCAAAACGGAGGCCTACATCAAGAGCCGTGAGGAGGTAGTGCTGCCATGGGTCAAGAAGGTGGCTGCTGGATGACACTAATTTGGGCACGAGAACTCATTACCATGCCACGCTAGCAGGAGAACTCAATCATTGCTGTTGGACAATTTTTCCGGCGACATCTGGCCACCTAACTCCCTTGATTACTACGTGTAGGGTGCAGTTGAGACCGACAAAACTCCTTGTAACAACAAAAATGAGCTTGAGACAAAAAATTTGGAAGCATCCACCAACTTAAAGAAGGAGACCGTCTAGAAGAGTTTCAAGTGATTCTGAAGTCGTCTGAAGGCCGTGGTTGAATCCAATGTCGATTTTATTGAATAAATTTACTCTTTAGTTTTTCAAGATTTTTTTTGTGTGTGTAATGTTGGTAAATATATCTGTTAAAATGAGATATTAGGGTTATTTTCATTTTTGCGTAATTTAGACTATAATTTATCTATCGCACCCTGTAGAATATTTTAAATGAGGCGTGTCAATGCCCGACGGTGGTAATGGAGGTTTAGTCAACGTGTGCAGATGAGGTGCGTTGTTTATTTAGTAATCTTTTGCAAACGTAGCGTATTCTATCTGAATGCACTGTGTAAACACCTCTATTAATATATGGAAATGGAATTATATTTACTTTGGGAGTTTACTGTCACGAGAGGATACACCTGCTTCTTACATTTCGTTTTAGTTGGGGCATTAATTGAATCGACCTTTCTAAACGTTTCAAATTCAAACCATCCTGACATTCAGCTACATTAACAGTTATCTTTATTAACTTTTTAGCGAAATTGTGGGTGGGGGTTACGTAGCAAAAAATAGTTTCCGTTTTTTTAATTGTAAAAGAATATAAACATTTTGGTTTTAAATACATAAAAAATGAAGGAAATATTTCAAATAATTTTTATAGCATAATTTTTTTATTCCAATATAATTATAAAATTGTTATGAATAATCAAGAGTGGTCTTCCCTTGTTTTCTTACACTCTTTGAGAGAGCTAATTCTTTTTACTGGGATTATAAAAGGACACCTTGTTGAATAAAGATTTCTTAAAGCATACACCTGCGGACTGCTGACATTACAAAAATATTTTATCCATATATCCTAAAAGCAACTTTAGCAAGATTTTTATTATCTACAGTGTAACCCGGATATAAGAGAGTTGTCGGGACCGGAGAAGAAGTCTCTTATATCCGAGTTTGGTCTATTTCATATACATTAACACAGGCTCTAATTTGGGACCAAAGGAAATCTATCTTATATCCGGGTTTCTCTTATATCCGGGTCTCTCATATCCGGGTTACACTGTATTTCTGTTCAAGAAATTCTTATGCTAACAAAATTGAACATACTGTTTTAATCATTTCACGCCAAGCAAGGCGATAATGTCAGTAAGACGCCGAGGGTCACTGAGAAGGAAAGAGAATGATAAGGCTTTAGTCAGAAGAAAGAACAATAAAAGTAAATGGTTCAGGAAGACAGG